AATATTAAAGTTTCATCAATTTAAGTTATAAACTCTTTTTTAAAGTAAGTCTTTCAAGTACAAAAGTAGTTGAAACAAACGGTTTTTCTGCCTAACTGTGCTTGTTATGAGAACGAAACAGAAATGGATAAAGTTTAGAGAAGATAGCTTAAATTAAGTACGAAAACTACTTAACTCAACATTTTTAACAAAATTCGGCATTAAGAATGTTAGGAAATTTATTATGAACGAGAGAAATGTAAACTATGCGATTTTCATGCTGGGTAAATTAGGATTTGCGAAAGCAAAGCAGAAATTTAAGCATTATACAACACTTCACTTTAAAAGAGAGAAAAAATCGAACTACTCCTAGCTAGCTTCTCCCAACTCAACTGTACCCAGCTTTTCTTAGCTTATGCCCAGGAATTGGCCTTAAATCAATCGATGAATGTGCTTAAAGAAGAAGAAGCCCCGCCTCCTGCTTAGGTTTAAGACTTTTATGTTATATTCTATATGGCATGCATAATGGCTAATACGCTTAACAAAGCCAAGAAATCAACAATAAAAACATGTGACGGCTGTAACCGACTGCGCAATACTCTGTTGGCAGCATGATAATGGCTGGAAGTGGGATGGATACAGTACTGTCAAACATTGGAGGAAAGGCTGTCAAGCTGTTACATTTACAGACCAGCAAAGCCAATATACCCCTTTCGCTTAGGAAACAGGGTATAACAGTCAACTGGCTGCGACAAAGTTTGCGCAATGCATTAGTCGAGGACGTTGGCATATTTGCCTAGGCTACTCGGAAGGACCAAAACGGAACCAATGTTGCCATTGAGCAGCTCACATGCAGCTAAATATGACATCCAAGGACTTGTATGCATGTATTTATATTTATTTACGTAATATGACTCTGTGAGTGAAATCTAATTGCTTGAATACAAATTACTTGGGCGAAACAATGCAAAAAAAAAAGAGCAGAAGAAGAAGAACAACAGCAACTAAATGACTGTCAGTGGCAGATGCGGGCGCAATGATAGAATTAAAATTGGACTGCAAGAATTGTAATTATGCTCAAATAAAAAAAAAAAAAAAACAACAAAAAAAACGGCACAAGGGTATGCGCCCGCTGCGAGCCAGAGCGAGAGCGAGAGCGAGAGCGAGAGGGAGAGAGGCAAGTTTTGCTTATCTTAATGAAATAAAATAAATGCAGCGAGCAGAGAAGCTCAAGCAGTGGGAGATGTAGAGGGAAGAGAGAGGAGCGCAACAGTGTTGGCTAGCTAAATTTGACAATTAGCCAAAAATAGTTGCAATTTCAAGCTGTTTTAGCTGTTTTCTGGCCGCATCAATAGCAAGTACTGGCAAGCTGAGCAAGCTATTTCAGCTATTTTTGGCTATTTCTTACATTAGTCAAAGCTAAAGCAGTTGGCAGCACTAAGAAAGAGAGCAGAAAGCGGGGGAGTAGCAACAGCAGCAGCAGCAGCAGCAGCAGGCAGCGGCCTGTGGTCGCATCAGCGGGAGAAGGGGGCAGCAGCAGCAGCAGGTCGCCGGCTTCAGTCACAAGGACAAAAGCCAGTTGACATTATGGCTGTGTTTATGGCATTGTTTGTGGGCTTTGCCCCAGACTGTGCGCCACTCTACTTGTGAGTGAGTGAGAGAGAGAGAGAGCGAGAGAGAGAGTGTGTTTGTATGTGTGCATGCTGTTGATATCATATTACATTTTATAAATTACATTTTGTGCGCAGGCTAATGCACAACATGAAAAAGCGAAACGTTGATTTTTGCCTTCACTTGCATACAGTACACTTTGATACTCTCTAGGGAATGTAATAAGCGGGGTATATTCATTTATATAAACGTTATGCCTTTAAAGACTTGATATGTGGAATATATATAACTTATGTACAGGCACATCACAGTTTGAGCATCTCTTCAATCAAGCAGTCGCTTCTCAAACTGTTAAGCAGCTGCTGCTTAGTAGAGTATTGCGCAGTCGGTTACAGTCGATATTTGCTGCTGCTGGTGTACATTAGCAGTCGCCTGCAGTGAGTCCTTCGTCCTTCGCTCGAGTTTGACTTCAATTGCGCCACGGAAATGCATTAAGAAATTCAACTTTGGCCCACGCAGCTGCAGTGCACCAATCAGACCAACACCCCCGCCCTGTCCCTGCTGACCCTATCCAACGCCAAGAATGCTTTTAATAGGCACTTGCATAATACAGCCATGCCCCCACCAGCCCCCTCTATGGGCGTGAGCTAATGCGATGTCTAGCCAATATTTCGATTCATATGCCATATTATTAGAATGGCGCAATAGGCACATTAGAAATGCGACTATGCGCTTATTCTAAGCCAGGCTCATGTACAGTGAATATCCGCTAGAGCGAACTTCCTACAGACAAAGAAGTTCGCCTAGAAGATATATATTAAAGAAATAACATAAGAAATATACGGAAATTATAATTATTAATTAATTATTATTCAGATTTATTTTACCTTACATATTTATATAGATTATATAAGAAAAAACAAAGAAAAAACAACAAACTTTTCAATTTTGGTTGCAAAAAATCTCGAAATTGTTCCAGATTTCTTGTGGCCACCTTTAGATAAGTTTGTTTGTGCGTTCTAGGGATAATTCTTATACAAATTAAAGTTGTATAAGAAATAGAGTCCTATAGAACGTTGCATAAATTGAGTTTTTACTGTATGCTTGCATATGTTCCATAAAATCTCAAATTGAAAAGGTTGCTTTGCGAATGCTAGGAATATTTCTTCAGTAGAAAGTTTCATATTGGGAGCTTTCACTGTACGTTCACAGATATGGAATTAAGTTAGTCAAATAGAACGTTCCTTAAATGCAAGTTTCACTGTAAGTTAAAAATTACGAATTTTTACCAGAAATACTTTCTCTTACGCTAGAAGAAATACAATAACATGCCAGTCCCATAGAACGTTGCACAATTGGGGTGTTCACTGTATGTTTACGTGTGTATTTTACAATAACATGCCAGTCCCATAGAACGTTCCACAATTGGGGTGTTCACTGTATGTTTACGTGTATATTTTATAAATCAATGCATTAAAAACGAAACCAATTCAAATAACAGGCTAATGATATGAGAGCATTAATGCACCCTACAACAAAAAATAAACCCCCCCCCCCCCCCCCCCATCCCACCAATCAATGCAACCCCCTTCACCCACCCAGCCACTCCCCACCTTTTGGAGCACACAACATTTATATATTTATGTATTTTTTTATGACAAATAATCCGCTTTCACAGCAATTGATGTCAGGTTGAATCGACGCAAAATGAAAGTTAATACCCAACAACGGGACAATTGATTGAGGCAGGTGATAAGCCTCGGCTGCGATAGGGCCAACTTCTCTATATATATTCTCTCTGGCTTTTTTGTTTCGTGATTAAACATTTCATTTGATGTGGCTGTCGATAAGGCTAATGATCAGGCTCAGGCTCAGTCCCGTGGGCCAATATCATATTATGATTGTATTACACATATTTGGCTTTAATAATGCGAGAGAAGGAGAGAAGGGAAAAGGGAAAGGGTTTTTCTTATCTGTTTGATTTCGTATTAAATTAGTGTCCGCAACTGTTGCAATTCCCACGGTCGGGCCCCTTATCGCACGGCTTATTTACAATGCGGCATTAACAATTTATTAAACAATTTTATGGTGTTATCGTTGCGGCTCGCTGCATTACGCATACGCCGATTGGGCTCGCGCCTCATTTCGCCTCATTTCGCAGCCAATCGCGCACTTGTTATGTCATTTCCGTTATGCATTTCCGCCCACTCGCGGCCACACCCCCTCGGAAAAACCAGCGCGTAATTTGATTTATCTGCTGCAGTTTGCCAGCATGCACGACACAGTTCATTTCCGTTGACATCGAGTTGGGCTCATCAGAAGTAGCCACTCATTTGGGTCGTTCCCGTTTTCGATATCAACTGCAAAACACACATTATTGAAATTTTACTAAATCTACACTTTAACTTTCAATTGTATAATGCATTTCTCTGATTTATGTGTAAATATGAAGTATTTTAGGTCGTTCCCATTTTCGATATCAACTGCAAAACACACATTATTGAAATTTCACTAAATCTACATTTTAACTTTCAATTGTATACTGCATTTCTTAGATTTATCTGTAGAATAAGTTGTATTAGTATTTATTCGTGTAAATTTGCAGTATTTTGGGTCGTTCCCATTTTCGATTTTAACTGCAAAACACACAAATTTAAATAGGCGTGTTTAAATCTTCAATTTTATGATAATAACATAATTATAATGTAATTTTATAACATTAAGTTATAAAAGTATTTATTCACGTTGCATTCAAGTTGTTCCAGAAAAATGCACAAATAAAACGAATTTGAAAGAAGGGCATGCAATTAATTGCATAACTTTAGGCGCACTTCGGATATTCATTTCACTGCCTACTCATGAACTTTCTGTTTTGTATCAGAAGAAACAATACAAATTAGAGCTAATCTAGGCCAATGCCAGAAGAATCTAATCGAATTCCTTATTAGAAGAAACTTTTTTGGGCAACCGCCTCAAGATATGAAAATTGCATGGAGACAGAGTCTTTGTAATAATAAAAAGTTAATAATAATAATAATAAAATAGATATACTTGCTTAACAATTGAATCTCATCGTTTTCTGCCCAATTCCGCCCGCGATTTCCATTGCCAGAATGCGGCTGCAATTGTTTCGCAATTTATTGTAGCCTACTTATTGGCGCTGGGCAATTTGTTATCCTCGTCTCGCGCGCATTGTTCCGATTGTTCGTTCAGCCGGAGCCTGGCTGCGAAATTGGCTTCAATTATGCGCCGCATTATGAAATTATGAAAGTAAGTAGCTGCTTTTGCTGATGCTTTTGCTGATGCCTCCGTTGCAGTTGCAGCTGCAGCTGCCTTCGCTTTGGCCAAATGTAATTGCCGCAATTTGTTGCAGTTGCAGTTGCAGTCGCTAATAACGTTTATTAAAACCATAACAACACCCCGGCCCCAGCCCCAAGCCCCAGCCCGCTTGAGGGCCATTTACAATAAGCCAGGCATGGCTGAATGCGGCATGTGGCATGTTGCATATGTGTTACGTTGGCAAATTATGCAAATCCTTGTGAAGCACATTAATGACAATTAATCGCTGCAAATTAAACTGATGACAATGCGCCTCTCTCCCCCCTTTATGCATTATTAACTGTTCATTTATGAGCTAAGCTATCTCAGCCGGATAGTTGATAAAGTGCTCGCCATTCAAGCGTCCCAAGTCGCGCTCCTCCTGCGCCTGCCGCCGCTCCTCGTGCCGCCCATCCAGGCCCACGCCTATGCGCTCGATAAATTTCGCAGAGCGATATCCATTTTTCTAGAAAAAAAAAAACAAAAACCACATTCCATTAGATACTCAGCCAGACAAGTCTGGTGTAGCGACTCGCACCTCGTAGTAAATGGAACGCGCCTTTTTGGCCGCCTCCGGGTCAAAGTTCCAATCGGTGCGCACGTGGGTTATGGGCTCGCCGGCGACATTGTTCTGCAGCGTCTCGCTGATCAGACGCAGAATGAATCCATCAGCCGGCTGGCTGCACAACAGCAGCAGGGTGCACTGCAAAAGAAAGAGTATCAGTATAAGGGTTAACAAGAGAAAGAGTATGCTCTTTCCAATCCTACATCAATCAAAACTGTTTGAATGGATTGTTGCATGATTTGAGCTCGAAATTAAACGGGCATTTCAATTTGATAACACCCCAGTAACACCCCCCAGAATGTGGGGTGCTATCAAGAAAGTGGAAGATTGTGATTCTATAATAACTCAACGAGAGTCTACAATCGCAATTTGCTGTCTCCAGCTTCTATATTCCTCGAGTTATGCTCAAAAAAGAGTATTACGAAATTCGTATAAAAATGAAGTTTTTAAAAAAAATGAAGAGAATAGATTCTGGGTCTTAACGAGAGTCTACATACCAAATTTGGCGTCTCTAGCTCTTAAAATCGTCGAGTTATGTTCAAAAGACTGTATTTCGATATGAATTCTTATCGATAACAAGAAAGAAAAGTTATCGATAACTTGAAAGAAAACTTATCTGCGCGATGAATAGAAGAAGCTATGCTCAAAATTTCTTTAGCTCTCAGAGACGCTGAGACCCTATTAAACAGTTATGCCCATTTCTCTTCTCTATCTTCTTCTATCTCTGTTATTGCACTTGAAAAAGGTTAATCGAGGTATGACTGTTTTCATTTTTTATGACCTGCTCAGTTAAGTAAGCACTACTCAAGGCTCTTGAAACTTTTTTTTTTTTTAATATTGCGCCACATTATTGATCTCAGTCTAGCGTAACTTTCGTTTTCAAGGGCTTGAGTCATGGCTTGAATATTTTGCACAAATGCGACTTGTCTCTCACTTACCGCAAACGAAAACACAAACAAAAATCTCATTTGTAACATTTTCTGTGGCTTTTGGCTTTTATTTGGTTGATTTTAGATTTCTTGAAGCGCGGCCCGTGCGAGTCACTGGACCATTGATCACTAAAACCGAAACCGAAACCGAGAAATCGCGCAGTTGCATAAAACGCAGCCAAGCGCCAACGCAAATATCGCACGAATAACAAGAAATAAAGAAGAAATATCGAAAAAGATACGAAACGAAATACTCGTACATCTTGTTTGCCGAGAAGTTGCACAGTTATGCGAATGCCAGACAGGGTTGCCAGCTTAGCCTCTTTCTAGCTAAATTGTGCTGCTTCAAAATTGATGCTCTCAACAGACTTGACTATGTTAACTTATGTTATGTTAAGTGATGTTATGTTAAGTTACGAATTGCCCATGTTAGGTGTTCGGCTGAAAATGCCAAGTTACAGTATCGCTGCAAGCTAAGTCAGCTATTTCTAGCTATTTTTAACATAGGTCTTAGCTGCAGCTGGCAACACTGCTAACTAACAGTTAAATACTGAGAGCGGCAGCGCGAGAGCGAGAGCGAGAGCGCGCTTAAATAAATATTCAATAAAGTACAACAAAAGCAACAACAACAACGAATAGAGTTTGGTAAGAAAAGCATATTTAAGCGTTGTTTATCTATGGCCCAATTTATGAGCGCAACACAATATAACAAATTAGATAAGTCCGCATAATTGAGGCTGCATTGAACCCTGGCTTTGAGCGCGACCTTCAGTTGAATACATTAAGTACTCTACAACAATTACTGTCGCGCATTTGTGTGCGTTTTAATGGCACATTTTAATGGCAGACCAAATTTGTGTTTACCGGCAGACGGAACTAAATTGTGGCCAAAGGTTAGTGGCACCTGGCTTAAGAGAAAAACAAATAAAAGACTGTATAAATACGCGTCGCTGTCAAAGAAAGTGCGCCAGACTTCCATAGAGGAAAGAAACTAAAAACAAACAAACAAAAAATAGCACAAGATACAAAGAAAGACAAGACACAAACTGGTTGAACGCATTATCATTGCAGAAGTTACATAATGGCTTCGTCATCATCATCATCATCATCATGAAGATCATCATGCAGAGACAGCAAACCAGAAAGAGCCAAAGTAATTTGGCCTCAATTCCGTTACAGCTTTTTGCACTGCACTTTAACAGCTGTGCGACGCCGCTCTCTTAAACGCACTCGCCCAGACTCTCTCTCGCTCTGGCTCTCTCGAAAAGCTACGTGCCTGGCTTCACGTCGACGAATTAAGCTATTAGTTGCGCTTGCCGCTAGAAAAGCTTTTATTAAACTTCCGTCAAGGAAGCGCCTTAAGAGCTGCTCAAGCCCATGTCAGGACTTTCACTTTCATTGAGCGCTGTTAAGAGCGCACGTATTAGATCAGAAGCAGATTTCAAACAGACATGGGCTGAGCTTTTATTGGCGCGCAGCTTTTAAGCTTACGAGCGGGCGCTCTGCAACGCTCGCTGGCCTCAGACAGAAGTTCAGTTACCAAACAAAACGCGCGCGGTTAACAACACAGCTTTGCGCGTTGCGGCAACAAATTACCGTTAGCGTGAGAAACGTGCCCAGCCAATCAGTTGTTTTGGATATTCACAAAATTTGTGGCTATGGCAAATTTAAATACACTGCTGCTGCCAGTAAGTCTTGAGAGAGCGCGCATCGTGCATTTCACTTGTCGCTGTTGTTGACCCCATCAATTAACATGGCCAAAGCAATAGTCGCGCGCTGACACAATTTCCGTGTGCCGCCTGCGCGAAAGTCGCACAAAAAGAAAAGTGCCTGCACGAAAATGTGACTGGAATTCACAATGAGCATTGATGTTGTTGTTGTTGCCTTGCACTCATTGGTCAGCGCAGCGACACATTTTGAATTGATGTCGCGCCAATGTAATTTGTAATCAGCGCACGATCCTCGCCAGCGATAGCGAGCGAGAGAGAGAGAAAGACCTTGAAATGTGCCCATTGCCCAATTCCGCAAACGATCGTTGCGGCTTTTCCGCTCTCTTTCGCGCTCTCTCTCTCTCTCTCTTTCTTGTAGGTTGACCAATTGAAGAGCTTACAAAATGTGTCATAATCTCAAAGCTGCGCTCAGTTTGGCCATTTGTTGTTGCTGTTGTCGCTTTGCATTGCATAATCGTGGCCAATAACCGTTGTTAATGTTCATGCAAGAGTTGGGCCAAATTACATGTGCATTTATTACAGCTTTTATGTGCCTGACACACTGAACTAATGAGCCGGCTTTACTTAACAATAATTGCAAAACAAAAACTGATTATCTTGCCTTTTCAGCTCATTTTACTAATTGTTGCATTTGTCGCGCACACATCCTATGCCACGGTGCAGCCGCGTGCGCCCAACTTCCAGTACTTTGAACGGTAAATTGCACTCAACACTAATGAAAATCATAATTATAAACAAATTTATTGAAATAGGCCCAAATATCGTTATCCGTACTATGATGAAAATGGCAGGGGAAAATTGCTGTATGGCTATGGCGGACCGGATTTATACCAATACAAAACCTATACACCTCTGGAGGGCATACATTAGGCAGCTTTAAATATACATAAACAACTATTTGTTTAATTGTACTAATTAATTTATAAAAACCTAAACTAAACGCATTTTAAAATAAAACAATGTGCGCGCCAAAGTGGCAGCATTGAAAACTAGCTGGCAATGCTTTGCTTTAAGCGCATTTCAAAATGAAACAATGTGCGCGCCAAAGTGGCAACATTGAAAACTAGACATCGCTGCTGTGCCGTGTTGCTTAAATAGGTGAATGGCACAGTTGAGCTGTGAATGGCACTTTTCCAAAGCCAGCTACAAACAGGAGGCATTTCTTAAATATTGTTAACTTGAATTAAAACAACGTGTTAATTGTTTGTAAATATAGATAAAATGTCACGCAAGGAGGCACTGTCACAGTTCATCAATCAAATACACGGCCGACCCGTGGCTGTAAAGCTCAACAACGGCGTGGACTACAGAGGTGGGCAACACACAACAAATTGTTTGCCGGCAGCTGGGAAAAACCTAATTTGTTGATTAATAATTAATGTTTATAGGCGTTTTGGCCTGCTTGGATGGCTACATGAACATCGCGCTGGACCAGACCGAGGAGTATGTCAACGGGCAGCTGAAGAACAAATACGGCGACGCCTTCATTCGCGGCAACAATGTGCTCTACATATCCACACAGAAGCGTCGCGTGTAAAACTAATTAACTTACATTTATTTCATAAATACAACAATCACATTTTGTTTGTCAAAAGCTCAGCTCGTCGTGCCATATTCCCTGGGTATGGCGCCAAAGTGGCGCAGCTGGCGCAGCGTGTAGCCGGAGCCGAGCGCCGCGATCAACCGCTCGCCGCGTCGTCCGAATTTGCGCTCGTACGTGGAACGCCAGGCGCGTCCGAAGTGCGGATCGAAGGGTATTTCGCTGGGCTGCTGGAAGGGTGAATTGCCCAGAAAGAGACGCTCAATATAGTCCAGTACGGCCTTCTTCTTCTGGAAGTGCACCAGCAGCGGATGCGCCTCCGGCGAGTCCAGATTCTTGAAGTACTCGAAATTGACCAGATCCACGTTCGAGAAGTCGAAGGTGGCCTGCACCATGCCTAGCTGCAGCACGCACTATATCCAAAGACAAGGCCAATGTTAATGTGGTGCTTGGTGTGGACGCAGTGCGTCAAGCTAATTGCTAATTGCAGCCACTTACCATTAGGGCGACTGCAATTAAGACGTATTTGCACATGACACTCGCTTCGATTTAGCTAATTGATGTTCCACCTGGGAGCTGGAGCACCTTACGCTTTCCCGCACGGCATTCAACTGAATTTGAATTGATTCGGCCACGGCTGTGCGTTGTCCACGTTGTGTGTGGATTGTCCGCGCGATTTGCAATCTAATTTCCACTCTTGTCTTTTGTCGTAATCAATGCCATATTACCCAATCCCAATCCGCCTGTACCGCACGCCCAGCCAAAATGTAAAAAGACAATACGGCCCACCACCTCGGCTAATTAATTGATATGCATGGCGCATGAGTTAAGGGCCTCGCCCCCCGCCCCCGCCACCACGACGCCAAGCGACGCTTGTGATAACCAGTCCAAGCGTAAAGAGCTGCTGCCGGCCGCCCAAGTCAGTCTTAAGAGTAGCTGAATTTAAATATTTTAAATAGCTAAAACAAGCTTAATTAGCCTAGGTGCGCATTTGGAATAAATAGGTAAATGTGTTCAAATTTTCAACTGGTTCCGGCTGAGAATTTCTTATGAACAGCTCGAAAACAGCTAAATTGGCAGCACGTTTGTTTCGTTTTATACACCACAGTGTGCAGTGCTGCCAATTGCAGCTAAGAAATTAGTAGCCGAATACAACTAAAACAAGCTGAATTAGCTTGCTGCAATTAGTAGCTGAAGATAACTCAGAACCTGCTCGAAAATAGCTAAATTGGCAGCACTGCATTTGTTTCGCCTCACGAAGCCAGTGCTGCCAACTGAATACAATGTTTGAAATAGCTAAAACAAGCTGAAATAGCTTGGCCGTTAAACTTTTAAACTGGTTCCGGCTGACGGCCCTTACAAATGTTGCTCAAAAACAGCTAAATTGGCATCACTGAACAAAGTCAGTGTTGCCAACTGAATACAATGTTTGACATAGCTAAAACAAGCTAGATTAGCTTGGGTACAAATTCTTAACTAAATTTGTTAAGCTTTTGAACTGGTTCCGGCTGACGGCCCTTACAAAAGTTGTTCAAAAACAGCTAAATTGGCAGCACTGAACAAAGTCAGTGTTGCCAACTGAATACAATGTTTGACATAGCTAAAACAAGCTAGATTAGCTTGGGTACAAGTTCATAACTAAATCCGTTAAACTTTTAAACTGGTTCCGGCTGAAGATATCTCAGAACCAGTTCAAAAACATCTAAATTAGCAGCACTGCACAAAACACTGCATTTGACAAAAGCGTTCAATTTGAATTTATTTTCGAATATCGTTGTTCTACGCGCTCTCAATAAACGGTTGCAAAAAACTCAAATATATTTAGATGAATACAATGCAGAATTAATTTGTTGAATTTACGTGTTATGGTTGTGTATTGTTGTGTGCTTGTTGCCTGACTATTTTATTATTTATAAAATCACATTCCTATTATTTATAAATATATATATAATGCGTATTATTGCTCGTGATAATTTGCAAATTGAAATTTCGCGCTTTTCAACATAAATTTTTGTTTTCACTTAATCATAAAGAATATTCAAATTTACAACAAAAGAGCTGACTTGCGTTAATCGGGCAATTAAAACAATGTTTGTGTGTGTGTGTGGGAAGGAGGGGGGAGATTTCATAGCGTGTTTTTAGTTGGCCCAAGACAACAATTGCTGCATAACTGGATCATCTGCAAAGTGCAACAACAAACAGGTTAAATAGTTTACAGGGTATTTACGGCACGCGCATACTCACCATCATCCTCTGGCTTGGTGGCCGACGCAACGGTTGCCTTTTTCTTTTCCTTGGCCTTCTCGGGCAAATCTTCGGTTGGCGCTTCTGGCAACGTGGGCGTTGGCTCTGGTATGCCAATAATTTCCTTATCAAAGTTCTCCTGCTCCAGTTCATCGAGTTCCCGCTCGAGATCCTCATCATCCAGATCGGCGCCAAAGGCGACCGGATTCGAAATGGCATCAGAAATTTCGCGCGCCACATCCTGTTGCTCGGCAATGTCATCCATCATATCGTGCACCTTGTCCACATCCCTGCAAATCAAACAAAGAGACAGTAAAATCAGGAATACCCGTGCGATACGCTATACTCACATGTTCTGGTGCGCGGATTTGAGCGCATCCGCGGCGTTCTTCATGGTGGTCAATACGGCAGTATTCGTGTTGGCGCTCTCCAGAGCCTCGCGCTGCATCTCGATCGTGGAGAGGGTGCCATCGATTTGTTGCAGCTGCTTCTCCAATCGCTTCTTCTTTTTGAGCGCCTGCAGAGCCACTGCAAAAACGTTGCCGAAGACACAAAATAATTAAATACAAATAAACGGAGCGAGACGCTTAAAGTAAACAAACGAATGAATCCAAAGATACGATGACAAATTTTGTTACGAGACTTTCTTGACCAATACGAGAATACGAATCTATGAGTTTTGCAATTGAGTAAATGTTTATATTACGTTCTTATGGTTAGCATAATTATGCGTATATGTCGGGGGTGCGTCCATGGCAGCCAGCGGATGTTTGTATGTTGGAGCGCATAAAGAAAGGCGAAGAAATATATAGAATACTTTTTACTTAAAAATTCTAGCTCTGGCGTGGCAATGGAATTGTTATATACATATATTTATTTGAAGGCAACAAAAACAAAAACAGAAGGCAACCGAAAATGAGTCATAAGTTTAATCTCTGATTTGTGGCTGTGTAGGAAATCCCTAATGTTTCGTGTAGTATCGGGCACTTACCTCTTTTGTTTTTGGATGCATTTTTGCGTGCTGTATTTAACTCCTCCTCGATTTTGGACTCGAGAAATTCCTGTTTTTTGATCAACATGTTCTCGGTCTCGCGCAGCTTTTGTATCGCCTCGCCTGTCGTTGGGGCCATCTCCTTTTTGCCACCAAACATTTTCCCAAAGAAGCTCATACTGTTTTTTTGCCTTTTACACGCGCACACAGCACTAATTCTCTATTAAATTAAGTTTTTCCTATTGCGTTCTTCCACAGACGTCGTCTGGTGTTTTTGTCTACAGTGAAGTGTGCGTCATCGTGTTATCGAAAAAACCAAATACAACAACGTGCGTCAAATTAGCGGCGGTGACTTAGCGTCGAATTTTGGTACTTGTTATCGGAAAACTATCGGTCACTTTCAAATGCATTTATTTATGTTTTTAAGCACGAAACCAAATAAATTTAAATGCAGAATTGCAAAAAATTAAATTATTTACTATCTACATTCATTTATTTTTGAATTTTAATTTATAATATGGGTAAACAAAGGGGTTGAAAAGTTAGGTTTTCGCCATTCTTTAAATATCTTAATTCAGGGATAATGGCCCCGAAAACCGCATATACACGATTGAAGTCTATAGTTTCACCTATCCAATCGTGAAAAAATTATAAAAACCGATCAGCATGTTTTTAAGATATTTGTACTACAGTGCAGCAACCTCGTTGCTAGCCCCATACAAAATGACCGTAAAAAATCACCCTTGCACTTGAACCCTAATAACTTTTCTCAGGGATAATGGCCCTCAATGCACGGTATACCAACTTGAAGATACATGTTTAAGGAAGCTTTACGCATTAATTCTAAGCAAATCGAGCAGCCAGTTTTTTAGAAAAATGGCAAAATGTAAGCACACCTCATGTTGTTCATTCAAAATGCCTATCGAGCTACTAGCTCCAACGGGAACCGAACCACTGCTCGGAATCAGTGTTGAACAATGTTATAAAGTATTGGGCGGGAACAAATTAATTCAAAATACTTGTATATGAAAGAGAAATGCAGTAATATATAAAATAATTGTCATTTTACAATAAAACATTATCTTTGGTAAAATAGACTGCTGCAAAAGACGACACCTATGCATTTAAGTATTTATGCACGTATCATAACGAAAAGGTGGCAATATTTCAACCTATATTATTCTATTTCTCCGATAATGGCCCCAAATGCACGGTAGTTTAACATATAGATCGCGAATTATCAATCATTTTGCTTTTTACATCAAGAAAATCGTCCAGCCAGTTTTAGAGAAATTCGCATTTTTCTATTTTTCTTATTATACCCTCTGTTATGCAAAAAAAACTAGCTGGCAACATTACATACTTAACATATTCATTTATCAAAATGGCGACGATATTTCGACCTTTATTATTCTATTTCTCCGATAATGGCCCCAAATGCACGGTAGTTTAACATATAGATCGCGAATTATCAATCATTTTGCTTTTTACATCAAGAAAATCGTCCAGCCAGTTTTAGAGAAATTCGCATTTTACTATTTTTCTTATTATACCCTCTGTTATGCAAAAAAAACTAGCTGGCAACATTACATACTTAACATATTCATTTATCAAAATGGCGACAATATTTCGACCTTTATTATTCTATTTCTCCGATAATGGCCCCAAATGCACGGTAGTTTAACATATAGATCGCGAATTATCAATCATTTTGCTTTTTACATCAAGAAAATCGTCCAGCCAGTTTTAGAGAAATTCGCATTTTACTATTTTTCTTATTATACCCTCTGTTATGCAAAAAAAACTAGCTGGCAACATTACAAACTTAACATATTTATGTTAGGGGCTGCCAACTTATGAAGAATGCAAACATAATGATATGGAATATATAAAGATGCCAGCTTGTGAAAATAAGTAAAAGTATACATGACGATGAATATTATGTAATCATGATATTTATATTAAATTAATATACTTTATATATATTGAAACATTCTACATCTCTATGTTTGCATTCTTCATAAGTTGGCAGCCCCTAACATAAATATGTTAAGTTTGTAATGTTGCCAGCTAGTTTTTTTTGCATAACAGAGGGTATAATAAGAAAAATAGTAAAATGCGAATTTCTCTAAAACTGGCTGGACGATTTTCTTGATGTAAAAAGCAAAATGATTGATAATTCGCGATCTATATGTTAAACTACCGTGCATTTGGGGCCATTATCGGAGAAATAGAATAATAAAGGTCGAAATATTGTCGCCATTTTGATAAATGAATATGTTAAGTATGTAATGTTGCCAGCTAGTTTTTTTTGCATAACAGAGGGTATAATAAGAAAAATAGTAAAATGCGAATTTCTCTAAAACTGGCTGGACGATTTTCTTGATGTAAAAAGCAAAATGATTGATAATTCGCGATCTATATGTTAAACTACCGTGCATTTGGGGCCATTATCGGAGAAATAGAATAATAAAGGTCGAAATATTGTCGCCATTTTGATAAATGATATGTTAAGTATGTAATGTTGCCAGCTAGTTTTTTTTGCATAACAGAGGGTATAATAAGAAAAATAGAAAAATGCGAATTTCTCTAAAACTGGCTGGACGATTTTCTTGATGTAAAAAGCAAAATGATTGATAATTCGCGATCTATATGTTAAACTACCGTGCATTTGGGGCCATTATCGGAGAAATAGAATAATAAAGGTCGAAATATCGTCGCCATTTTGATAAATGAATATGTTAAGTATGTAATGTTGCCAGCTAGTTTTTTTTGCATAACAGAGGGTATAATAAGAAAAATAGAAAAATGCGAATTTCTCTAAAACTGGCTGGACGATTTTCTTGATGTAAAAAGCAAAATGATTGATAATTCGCGATCTATATGTTAAACTACCGTGCATTTGGGGCCATTATCGGAGAAATAGAATAATATAGGTTGAAATATTGCCACCTTTTCGTTATGATACGTGCATAAATACTTAAATGCATAGGTGTCGTCTTTTGCAGCAGTCTATTTTACCAAAGATAATGTTTTATTGTAAAATGACAATTATTTTATATATTACTGCATTTCTCTTTCATATACAAGTATTTTGAATTAATTTGTTCCCGCCCAATACTTTATAACATTGTTCAACACTGATTCCGAGCAGTGGTTCGGTTCCCGTTGGAGCTAGTAGCTCGATAGGCATTTTGAATGAACAACATGAGGTGTGCTTACATTTTGCCATTTTTCTAAAAAACTGGCTGATCGATTTGCTTAGAATTAATGCGTAAAGCTTCCTTAAACATGTATCTTCAAGTTGGTATACCGTGCATTGAGGGCCATTATCCCTGAGAAAAGTTATTAGGGTTCAAGTGCAAGGGTGATTTTTTACGGTCATTTTGTATGGGGCTAGCAACGAGGTTGCTGCACTGTAGTACAAATATCTTAAAAACGTGCTGATCGGTTTTTATAATTTTTCACTATTGGATAGGTGAAACTATAGACTTCAATCGTGTATATGCGGTTTTCGGGGCCATTATCCCTGAAGTAAGATATTTAAAGAATGGCGAAAACCTAACTTTTCAACCCCTTTGTTTACCCATATTATAAATTAAAATTCAAAAATAAATGAATGTAGATAGTAAATAATTTAATTTTTTGCAATTCTGCATTTAAATTTATTTGGTTTCGTGCTTAAAAACATAAATAAATGCATTTGAAAGTGACCGATAGTTTTCCGATAACAAGTACCAAAATTCGACGCTAAGTCACCGCCGCTAATTTGACGCACGTAATACAACATCTGCAGCCAATAGCACATATGATTTGAAACCGATAGGCAGCATGCAGCCTTGCTGCTGTTAAGCCATTTTATTCGCCAGCCCTGGAGCCAATTGCAGAACAGGGTTGTCCGCTGTAATGCATTAAAAACAAAACACACACGAATTATGGCAAATCGCACAGTTAAAGAGGCGAAAAACGTGCACGGCACCAATCCGCAGTATCTCATCGAGAAGATCATACGTTCACGCATCTATGATTCCAAGTACTGGAAGGAGCAATGCTTTGCACTTACCGCCGAACTGCTGGTGGACAAGGCCATGGAGCTGCGTTTCGTTGGCGGCGTCTACGGCGGCAACATCAAGCCGACCCAGTTCCTGTGCCTCACACTGAAAATGCTGCAGATCCAGCCGGAGAAGGACATTGTGGTGGAGTTCATCAAGAACGAGGAGTTCAAATATGTACGCGCTCTGGGCGCCTTCTATTTGCGCCTCACCGGCGCCGCCATCGACTGCTACAAATATCTCGAGCCCCTCTACATAGACAATCGGAAGCTGCGTCGACAGAATCGTGCCGGTCAGTTCGAGATCGTCTATATGGACGAGTATATAGATGAACTGTTGCGCAATGATCGTGTGTGTGACATTATATTGCCGCGCATACAGAAGCGTTCCATACTGGAGGAGAATAACGAACTGGAGCCCAAGGTGTCGGTGCTGGACGAGGATCTGGATGACGAGGTGCCTAGCGAGGATGAGGCCAAAGACTCTGAGGAGCAGGAGTCCGCTCGCCAGAAGAACAGTTCGACAACTTCAGTGCGACGTCCGCGCCGGGGCCGCTCCAAATCCAAATCGCGCAGTCGAGAGCGGGACAGAGATAGGCGCGGTGCACCGAGCAGCAATGCACGCTCCAGGGACTACTACGATGAACTGGAGGAATATGACCGCCAGCGCAATCGTGTGCGCAACCGGGACACACAGAACCACAGCAGCAACTACAACGACGACTACGATCGCCGGCAATCTGGACGCAATGAGAACAGGCGGGACGGAGAACGCGACAGACGGGATAGGGATCGCGAGCGGGAACGAGAACGAGAGCGACATGGTGACAGAGAACGCGACCGGAATGGTGAGCGAGAACGGAACGGTGAGCGGGAAAGGAACGGTGAGCGTGAACGTGAACGGGAGCGGGAACGCAGCAGCCGCTATGAGCATCGGGAAAGAGATTCACGCAATGAGCGCGATCGTCGACGCTACTAAAATTTGCGCCTAGTTTAATTTTTTGCACACCTTTAAGTAAAAACATAAAGCTCTAAAAATCAAATTGTTTTTACTAAGGCTGGGAGGGTACAGTTGAAAATGAACTAAAAGTGGTTCACGCTAAAACGCGACAAGTGGGAACGGCACATTACGCGCCAAGCAGCAGCGATTTACTCAAAATGACATGGTAAACAAAAACAGCTGTTGCTGCGAATGCGAAGCTTTGTTTTTAGAAAGTTTGTGAAGCGCTGAATGGGTTAATGTG